AAACACCTTTTACTAAATCGTACGATTCGACGTCTTTGTGCCCTTCACGAACTTCGGGAATATCTGACAAGGATGAGGTTTTTTATGCGACTACAAAGCAGTCAAAACTCCGACGATCTTGAGCTGCCATGTGCAGAGGGACTTCTACATCTGGGTGCTCTTGTAGTTGACCCGTAACCAACAACAGCGTATCGCGTACGAACAAAAGCTTGATCAATTCTTCCACAATAATCTTCATGCGAACTCCATCAGTAAGGCTGTGGTCAATCGTCAGTGAAGGAGCGGCGTTAATTTCGTGGAGAATTGGGGTGCCATGCTCACCGGACGATAATGTCGAACCCGATAATCTGGAAACATTGTGGTCCAATCATTCCATTGAACTCGTACTCGTAGTTTGTCATCAATTCTGGCAACATGGCGAGTATAGTTTCCACAATTATAATTTTGATGTTATGCCACAATCTTTTCGTTCGCATACCTCACTTGGCCATCTGCTCGAAAACTGTGGATAATAGGCCCTTACTCCAGCTGGTATGATCCATCAATGAAAGGCTGTGAATATAGGATTGGTCGACTTTATTCAATGAGTAATTGGTGAGGTGAGCGTAGAGGTTTTCAAAGTTAGACAGTGTCGGTTTTGGTACTTTTCTGTGCGAAATCGAAGCATCCCTTCCCTAATGACGTAGATCGAGAGCGGATTTATGCTCTTAATTACGCCATAGACTCGAAAATCAAATTTCAGTTGATTTTTCATAAGGAAGGGGTCAGCGACATCCTGAGTAAGTCATCAGGAAGTGCCCCATGGTACAGATTAAATTCCACTCCTCTTGTTCTGTGGAATGAGTGCTTTACGGCCGATGCACCAGTTTGTGGTCACTTGTACGGTGAGGTCGCCCAAAATCTATGCGATTTGCCACGCAAATACCTCTGAACTGTTGAATTGCATGGCTTGGTTTTAAACTTTATTAGTTCAACAAAACACTTACAAAACACTGACAGGTATTCCTTCTTCTTCTCCTGCGTATTGTGCAGTCGGATATTGTGTGGTAGGGATTGTGTCGGATATTGCGTCGTCGATCGGATATTGCAGAACGGTATTGACGAATTGTGGACCACCGAGGCCAAGAATGACCCGACTGCCGGCCCTCCGGCTATTTATACCCCTCGGCCAGTTCAAAGTTCAGACCACACGCAGTTATTGATCGCTACGTGGCAAGAGTGACACCATCAACATGTCGTAACAAGTATTGTGAGTATGTGGCAGTTGCTACAAGATATAAGTTCTTGTGCGGTACCTAAACAGGCATTTGGAGTCTCCACGATCAACTAAGGGAACTCACGTGAATCCCTCCCCATATCCCCTGTAGGGAGATAAGAATAATTGTGTTGCTGGGGTGAAGTGCTTGTAGAACTTGCAGAATGAAGCCGCATTTCAGACTTGAGACTTCTTCTACATTTATATCAACGATTTGATAGTAATCAATAATTAATTTTAGCCCAATACCAAGTCGGCACACCGTTGTACGGTGACGACGGTTGCAACTTCATCATCGATGCGACAAAACGTAAAAAAGGTGCCATCTTCTCACCAACATATCCTGGAACTTATCCCAGTGTAAGCTTTTTTCAAAATAATTTCCTCTGAAGGTTTTCCGATATTGCTACAGTTGTGATTGAACGAAAAGTACGAGTCCGATCTAAGCCGTGATTTTTAGGTTATTTTTCTCAGTAGATTCCCTTTCGCCAACACTTTACGTGGTTGGCTTTCTAATCTAACTACTCTGGAACTTTGACAAGAGCTTTTTACCAAGAGTTTTTTTTGTAGTAACTCACTCACTGCACTGGGGTATTTTCTTGTTAAAATAGAGGGTCGGGACTTGAAAAATACGCCGAATAACACCAACAAGTTTTTCTTCCGATGATGAGTGACTGAGGGATACGCCACAGGTGATAAATGCATCTCACTTTTCTACTAGAGAGGATTGCAGTTGCTCCACCCCACATAGTCAGGTTCAATCCCGAAAATTACCTCGAAAAACCCTTTCCAGAAAATAAAAGCTCAAAAAATCAACAAACTCGAAAAAACTAGATTTGTGAACCTTTTTTTCTGTAGCACCTGAATCTCTCCAAAATATCAGCTACCAAAGATTGGCTCTTATTCCACTTCAATTATATCTTCCCCTTCTGAGTGCTTGCAATACTTACCTTAACCGTCCAATTAAAAAGAAATCTGTATTTCATCTTTTTTTCCAAATTATGGTATGTACTGTAACTCTCGCTTACATATCCTGAAGTTTATTGAAATAATCTGTTCACTGATTGGACTGAAGTTCAAATTCTTCTCGACAAACAGACTTGATATTTTACTATGTTTTGGTTAAGTTATTGATTCGTTTGTTTTTTCTAAAATGAATTGAAGTTTCTCACATTCAACGCTTGAATTACTTCAATTCATATCCGTGCAACTCGTCCAAATCACATCTTCCAGAACTTTCACTGCTCCTATTTGCTCAAAGGGCGACGTGGCCAACGTGTTCGATTGTTCTTTCGCGATTTCGATATCTATTTTGGCGGTGAACAGTAGGTTTTCTTTCTTTTAGATTTTTCAGTGAGATGTTTTTTTTATATTTTTGCGGAAATTACTTTCAGCTGCCCTTATGATTCGGTTACAATTTTCGATGGCTCTTCGACCAGTTCTCCGATTATCAAAAAGGTATGCCCTCATTTGTTACTCAAAAAGTCAACTTCAAAAATTGCTCACTCCTCGCTACAGTCATCATTGTAACAACGACAATAATGTTTACTAATTTTTTCCATCTCAGTTCATTTATTTGATTTTTGATCCCATTGATTTGATTTGATTTTTTTTTATTTTTTGTGGGTTCAACATCTGCAGTTTCGTTGGACCAGTCAGGCGCGTCCGGCGAGCAGAAAGGATAAGAGATTCATCAAAAAAAAAGAAAAAAAAACACGGGGAGCAACACTCCAAGTGATAAACAAAAATTAATGAACACTAATGACGACGGTGCGCCCTTATATGGGCATCTTGACGTGTCACAAATCGATACAAACGAGTAGATCATCTTAACATTTTGACCACTTGACGGTCTTTCGACACTAAATTTTTATTATTAATTTTCTTTATGTAAGCGTTACCCATTCCGTTGATCGCGCAGGCGAAAACCAAGAGATAGACATACGCATGGCACTTGATAGAACTAGGGCTGATCCCCCAAATTAATGCTTCGAGCCTGCTCCCCGGTCAGACTTTTCGACAAACAACATCTGATCTTTCCCTCAACACGACTTTCGATACGTGGCCGCTGTGCGACCTCACCCATCTACTTTACGAACTGTGGCCACTCCCTATCAGAGGAAGAACCTTAAAATTCGAAAATTTTAAGGGGAATTTCCGTTGATTCAGATAAATCAGAAACACAATTACATTGAATGGGTTCTTTCAGGTATGTGGCTTACAGCAACGAATGGAATTGTACTCCGTTGGCACAGAACTCCTCATACATTTCAATACTACGAATCCAGCCAAAGCGGATCCCCGAGGGTATGATATTAATCTAACTTTTGGGTGCCCAGGTTATATCACGTAGTTGTGGTGGAGTGTCGGTGGAGTAGGAAGGAATGGGGGAGAAGCGAAGTCCGCGGCAGGAATCGAGGGTATGCCTTTACCTGACCTCTGTCTCGGACACACCATCGTATGTACATAACTTACGTGCATCTTAGGTGCAGTAGTGGAAAGAGAACCCCCAGCCCATTCCTCCCTTTGACCTTTCAGATTCCATATTCTGTGCTATTGGACTTTGCTGGAGGCGGACAGTTACCGAAATTTCTGTGATTTCAGATTCGTTATCGAGTACGAGTTCTCAAGTCGTTTCGTCGATGTCACCCAATTACTACATGGCCAGAAAGGAGTCACACATATGAGAGGCACGGAATGTGATATTCGAGTGGAAAGTAATCGGGAAACCAGTCACTATATATACTCACCAAAGGTAAGGATGTAAATCGGTTGTTTTAAACTCAATTTCCGAATCAGGAAAACGGGGTGCATCAGAAAAGGTGTCTTGCATACTTAGCTGTCCAAAAGGGCGCACACGGGGTCGGGTAATTGGTTCCAGATTCGTCTGGAGGA